CTACTAGTGTCTGTGGATGTTAACAAGTGTTCAATATGTATCCAATAAAGGTTGGAGTATCTAAGTGTTAGACACGGACATGCTAGTCAAACTAAAGTGTCCGTATTTCTAAGCGGTGGCGGGGGGACAGCAAACAACAACACATACACAAATAGGACAGGACAGTTCATTGTGACACAGAACCTTTAGAAAAAAAAAATATAATAAAAAAATAAGAAACCATGAAGTCTAGAAGCTTGCTCTTCCTGAGATCTCAAACTAGGAAAAAAACCTCAATAATCAAGAGACAAAAGAATGGTGATTATATTTCTTAAAGTTGCTAATTTTCCTCCGAACAAGTATATGGATAATAAATTCTAGAAGTCGAAAAAGTTTCCCTCAAGTCCAAGGTTTTAAATGTTCATATCGATGAAAATCTCAAGGTCTCAATTTACAAAAAAGGTGTCATTAAATCGATAAACTGTTGTTTATGGGAAAATTGTAAATAAAAATTATAAAAATATTCAAATTATCTAAAAAGCATTCCACATTTTCTAAACGAGCTGAAGTTCTTTATTATTAATACTATGTCTATATTAGTGTACTCCATAAGTGTCATTTTGCTAATAGTTTTTTTTTCCTATGTTTCATCACTTCCTTATGATATACCTCGCTCCTGTCTTAGTTGTTGATTAACCATTGTTCGTCATCTCAGATATTATTTCCAATTTCACATGGAAACCTCTGAGACATTTAAGAACATGTGTATGCTTGCCTAAGATCTTAGCTTAACACCTTCAGATAGAATTCAAAGAACCAAATCACTTGTCTAAGATCTTAGCTCCGCTCTGTGCTCACCAAAGAAGACAATCAATATTCTTGAATTTTCAACTCTTTGCCTCTCCTGTTATGACTAAAACACTTTTTATATACCCACTTTTCTTGGTGCAGCTCCCACCTTGCTAATAGATACGGCCAAACAAAGGCCAATCAATGTTCTAAGTTAGCTTTTATCAATCTTTGAAGATATTTGAAAAGAAAGAAATTCTTGGATTTCCAAGGGAAAATAGGAAGACAGGACCAAATATATTCTCAACTATTTTGTTTCGCTGCTACCCCAGAGATTTGTAGTGAGTAACTCCTTAATTTTCCCCTTAATTCTAGTTAAAGATAAAGCAGATGAAATACTTAGGTGTTTATAGAAGCAAGAGAAGCATATCTTACCTGAGATGATATTTCTTTAGGCTCATCCAGAGATCTCGAAACCTAAAGTTCAACAACAAATTGCATTAAAATATAGGTGGAAAAGAAAGGATAATAAGGATAACAATCTAGAAAACATTTACAGCATCAAACAATGCAAAATTTTGGTTCCCATCTTCAACTGCATTGGTCCGGGAAGGGGATCCTTCTTCAGATCCTTCCGGGACAGGCGACGGAGGATTTGCAAAAATGTAAACGACCCTCATCTTAAAGTCATCTACCACCTTACCATCTCCCTTGTTAAACTACAATTCAAAGATGTAAAACATAAGCAAAAACGTAAGATAATTGTCGATTCAAAAAAATTATTCAACTAATGGAAGCAGAAACAGGACATTCCCACCAATTCTGCACTAATGTCCTTTGCTGTTGTACCATCTGGTGCTATAGCACTTTGAATTAGGAACTTATCCTTGCATTGCATATCAGAAGGCATCTCCTTTGGAGCTTGCATGGTAACTAAAAAGACCAATAACAAATCAAACATCCAGCATGCAAAAGTAGAGACAATGAAATTAAAAACCGAAGCGTTGAATCGTATTTTTTAAACAGAGAGAAAAACGAATCGACTATTTTCACATACTGATTTACCCGTAATATCGCTTATACTACTTGGCAAAATGATTCCAGCATTAGGACGAACACAGTACTTCTTCGGATTCGTGGTTTTAACCTGTTAAATTAGAATGATTGGTTTCAGAAAATGTAAACAATTCAAGATTATACCAATTATAAACAAAAATTTGTACCTTGAAGGCCACATATTTGTCGGTTTTGTTCGTCAAGTGCAACGAACAAGAACTTTGCTTCTTCAGTTCAACTTTTCCATTAAATCAAGTAAATTATACAATTTACAAAAGTGAAAGAAAACACAAACACACATAAACAAAATGACGTAACAAATATCCAAAAATCAGAATTAGATGAAATTGCAGCCATGATCAAGCTTCAAATGTCCGAGAAATCATAGCAAAATGTAGGGACAGATTGAAAATATAAGAAACTAACTCCTTCAATCAATTCAACCAGATATTTGCAATTCCTGACGAATAATAATGCAATTCTCTCTGGTAACTTTTTGAAACCTTAACAGATAACATCTCAACTAGACACATACGGTAATTAAACAAGTTTGGATCATCATAACATTCTAGGATTACTATATAAAAAGAAAATTCATCGAAAACCCATCATCTAAAAATGATTTCCAACGCCCAAAGAGGCCAAACCATGATGATCAAAAACAAAATAAAAGTAAATATACAGCAACAAAGGGGAAAAAGAATCGAATACGATTCGTCAATTCTGGAAGTGCGCAAAAGTTGGAAAAAGAAATTGTTTCACCTTTGGCAGCAATATTTGGAGACCTAAAAGCGAAAGTTGTAAAGAAACACAAAGGATCAGAGAGTGGAAAGGATAAACTCACATTGGAATTTGAGCTCGGAGGGTTGAATATTGATATAATCCCCGGAATTCATTTTTGTCGCCCTTGATCCCAGCAGCTTTCAGATTCCACCCAAACACACTCACTCGATCAGAATGATGGAGAAATATTGATGGATCTATAAATTAAGAAAAAACAAAAAGAGGGACCAGAGAAATTTCGGAACCAGCAACAGATACGAAACTGATTTTCATGCGATTAATTATTTTTGGGAGTTACAAAAACTTTCATCATTTTGAATTAGTAGCTCCACATTTTTAATTATTTATTTTGTAAATCAAAACATCCTGTTATTCATAATAAAAATAAAAATTTCATCATTTAATAAAAGTTATTAAATTGAAAATTTTTAATAAAATAAGTCTAAAAAATATTCTTATTATAAGGTACCTACCTCCCTGCATTAAATATAAACTTTTAAGTCTTACCGACCAACTTTTCAATATATAGTTATTTATTGATACATTTCTTTAAAAGTTTTAAATTTTAAATAATAATTATAATTATTCTATTTTATGTAGTCGCCGTCGAAATGATTGATGGTTCAACCCAAGCATGTGGTATGGTTAACCATATAAAGTCGAAACATGATTAAATTTAATTGTGTATGCTATTGGAGGAAAGTCCCACGTCGGCTAATTCAAGGAATGATCATGGGTTTATAATCGAGGAATACTATTTTCATTAGTATGAGGTCTTTTGGAAAGCTCAAAGCAAAACCATGAGAGTTTATATTTAGAGTGGACAATATCATATCCTTGTGAAGAGTCGTGTTCGTCTAACATATGCTACTAATTTGTTGTTCCATGTTCACGATACCACGATTTTGTGCCTGATGGTTATGTTTGTTACTATGATGTTAACTTTTTTTTTTTTTTTTTTTTAAGTATATTTCTC